TATATATACGAAATATGAATTTTATATATATATACATATATAAATAATATATATTATAATTACAAATCGGCAGTTATCACTTATCATTAGAAAATATCTCGATGTTATTTTTATCCAATGGAATATAAAGTTGGACGATTTAGCATGCAAATAAAAAAAAATAAAGTTCATAATTTAAAATCGTATTTTAAATACAATTTTTTTTTGTATTTAAAATAAATATACATACAATAATTAGTGGAATAAGAGATCGAACTTTACACTGAATCGTTCAATCATACTCTGATCGACCCAACATAAATATTTACGCTTGTTATAATTTTTATTCAGGAGCGATTCAGCTCCGGTTTGTGAATCTCTGATTTTCAATGAATAATCATTGCCGTTAATTGACAATGATATTTAGAAAGATACAGAGAACAAAAATGATCTCCAATCACATTATCGCGTACTCATTATAAACTCATTCCATCCTATCTTAAATTTTTTCTCTCCATGAGCTCAGTATTGTGCAATGTATACATTCCACTGCCTATTCATTCCTATGTACAGAATGAGTCTTAATTATTCAATAATATTTTAGAAGATGAAGCTAAAAACTAAATAAAAAAAATATGAAACGTTTAGATCATTTAGACTTATTTTCGTATGCGGCATCTGTTTCTTGAGTTCATTCTCTAAAATATTGACATATAATTAAGAGTCATCCTATATAAGTATATGTATAATTTAGGTTTTATTTACTTTTTTTTTAATAGAAGTTTACAATCTTTTTCTTTATTTTATATGCCATGAAAAAGAAGAAAAAATAGCGTAAGTTAAAGCGTACAATCATGTGGCGCATTTTTTCATACTTTTGTATATACACTCATACGACACGAAGAAAAGAAAAAGAACTGTGACAAAATACATAATTTATATACCCCTCAATATATCGAGGTAAAGTTCATTTTTTTCCAACTTTTCTTTTAACCACATCTCCACAACTGTAAGTTGACAATATCACTCCACACAATCTGCAGTAATTGATTCATTTAAAAATTATCTTTATTTTCTCGTTGAAAATATAAATAAATTACAAAATATATATAGTGTTAATATAGTATGTGTGGATTGATATACTCGGAAGAATGTTTTATGTAAAATCGATATATATATATGTATATAAATATCGCGATTCGATCACCGATCACGTTCAGACACATTCAATCGAGAAGTTTCTTGTTGGACGTTTTCGGTGTTCAAGGGCGATTATTACGCATTTTCCGTTCTATTTTTCTACGAAGGTACGTATATACGCGGGTTGGATACAATCCGTTTCGTATTATGTTTGGGAGTTCGATGTGATTTCGGGTTGTTTACGGTTTGATTCGGCTTATGTAATATAGCTTGTTATCAGTTACCCAGAGAGTGTTGTACAAAAGTCAAAAATCTTGATGATGACAAATGTAAGATCGTCTCTCCGCGTTCCACACCCGATAGACACGACGACGACAACAACGATGACAATGATGATATTCTCATGCTTATCTTAAGTTACTATCTAAGAGAATCCGATCAACGAGAGATAAATCGAGTACAGGATTCGCGCCTCTGACCATAATGGCACATACACATCACTAAATACTAACCGCTAGAGACTAGGGGGATATCGTCACTACACGGTGCTCTCCGTATCGGACGCCACGGAGAGCGTCTGCATCTTCGGAACGGAATAATTCTCCGAGTGCCCATGGCTCTGCGTTCTGTTGGATACTCTCTCCAAGGTGGAAGGAGCTGACGGAATGTCTTGATGAGCCTTGGGAGGAATCGGTGGAGGACTCACCTATAAAAGAAAATTAATCGAATCATTGCTATCAATTTATTTCATAAACATAAATATTTGTTGATGTTATTTAAATATTTATTCTAAAATGAAAACATATAAATAAAAGAAAATTAATTGGAAATATTTCAATTGTAGCAATCTGTTCATCCAAGAAGATATTTCATACCTATACTAAAACTGTATATTTTAGTAAATATAAAGTATTTTCAATTATATTTTCTTACTTCTTGATTAGGGAGAGAATGCGAGCCCTGGAATGTACCGCTGGCGAAGCTGCCAGTGGAGACATTGAGTGCGCTTATCACAGACGGTGGTGAAATGTTCATGATGTCGTTGCATCGGGAGCGCGGCTCGAAGTCTTCATAGCCTAAGTTATTTAGATTCGTTAAGTGTGATTGAAAATCTAGCAGACTGGCCGTAGAAATACCGCTGTCACGCAGATCATTCGGTTCGTTTCTCGGTTCTGTGATTTCGGAGTCGTCATCCGTGCTCCACTCTGTATTTGTGCGTTTGTGCGTTAAACCGCGTTTCGGCGGTGCCGGCGGTACTACTGTATTCGTGTTCGAATCTCTTTTGTCTAGCACTAAAACAGGAAGTACAAAGTGTGATATATTATATTTTCATGAAAAGTTTATTTCCGAGGTTATATTAAATTTTATTACAAATAATAACAGAGACAGAAGAATTAACTTACTGCAACCCCTGGGTGGTAGCGGAGGGGCGGGTTCAGGTCCAGGTTCGCTCCACGAGCTTCTGAGACCACTTTGATCCACGCCATCGGTAGGAGTAGGCAAGGAATGCCTCAATGGCAGTTTTGGACTCAGTGGCTTACTGAGAGATCTCTGATGTGTGGGTCTAGGCGGAGTTGAACCATAGCCAACGGAACGTGGCCGCACTTCTCGTTGTGGAATAGGTGGTGGTATACCGTCAACTTTTGTGTAAAAGCCTTCATCCTCAGGAAGACCATCGCTGTCAGCATGCGACAACCTAGAGCCGGCGGTTTCTAAAGTGGCTGGACGCTGCTTGTCGTTGACCGGCAAAGGTGGTAAGGGCGAACTAGAAAAGTAAAGATATAATTAAAATAATTTACTAATTTTTTATACTATAAACGATTTATTAAGCTCGTATATATGAAAACACAATAAATAAGAGTTTAAAACCTGTAAAATTTATTTACCGATTTTCGATATATTAACATCTCTCTAGGATGCCTGATTGAGCATCAAATTATTAAATTGCTTATCAATTTAATTTATGATATTACTACAGTAGTTCAGTTGCGTTTCTAAGTTCAAAAAACTAATTTGGCGCGCAATTCAAATGACTATACATGTAGTACATAAATTCGCACGACAATTATTTAAACACTTAAAATCCAGCTACGACCGTTACAGTATTTTAAACTCTTATTTGTTATGAAATAATCAATCCAATAATAAAACTAACACGAAAGCTTTACAGTTTGAAACTATAGGGCACAATGAAACAAACTGTACAAGAGTATATAGAATATAATTACTTTACGATGCTGTCTTGATGAATGGTTCTCTGTCTGGCCAGCGGACCGAGGCCTTGCTTGAGTTGTGTGAATCTCTCGATTAGCCTCTTATGCAACGGTTGAACCCCAGTGGGTGCAATCTGACCGTGCAATACCAAACCGGATTCTAAAACGCTCATCTGATCCAGTATCAATCCTTTCAATCGATTAACATGTGGCACCATTTCAGGATTCTGTCGAGCAAATTCGGACGTGAGAAAGGCCTCCTGATATTTGGTGATACCGCCCATTACGTTAGCGTCAATGATTCCCTGCAGCCGCATGCTGAATGGATTGATATTTCTATGTGGCTCCGCAGTGTACTGTGCAACCAATCGTCTCAATTCTCTTTCCACGCTCTGCATAGTTTCACAAGCATATTGTACTGGTGCCAACAATTCCGACCGTTTCTCGATCACTTCAAACCATCTGAGGATCCCTGGCAATTTAGCTTCTGTCATCAACATCGTCCTCTCGATCCACAACGATTTGAATTCATTCTCGCGATCCACTGGGCCACGATGCAGCGGCCGATCGAATGTAAACTTGCGAACATCATTCACCAAATAGAATGCAACTACGCGTTCCGGAACTTCGACGCCACTGCAAGCCAAGCTACCCTCTTCGGGAATTGGTTTCACATTACAAATTTGGATATCTGCAAAAATAATTGTTAAATAAAATATATTCATTCATAATAAATTATCGATTCCCAAATTACTTTTTATTCTCTTATAATTTAAAAGAATTAATAAATCTAATCTCACTTACATTGACCCTCAGAACTAAGGATACTCTCATCAGGCGGGGAATTCTTCATTAAAATTTGTGCGCAAGGAAACTCGGTTTGTAGTCGTTGTGTGAACGCCCCTATTCGTTCATATTCCAAACCACGATAAATAAATAACTTGTTCTACAATAAAAAAAATACAAATAACATTTTCGAGGCGTCTATTTCACAAAGTAATGTTAAGATCCGAATCAAACTTTGATAAAATATTTTTGATAGAATATAATTATAAAACTTAAATTATTTTATACACTAAAAATATCTTGAAAATTACTTTGGATTATAAATCAAACTCACTCTAACAAACAGTGGAAAACTGAGACCATAAAATCCAACGCGGAAGTATTCCGGTTCCGGACGTAGTTGTGTCAGAATGTTATCTAGGAATTTAGCCTGTAGTTTCAACACGTGACTAAGTTTGGCGTAGTCATACAATCTAGTCTCGTATAAGATCGCCAGTTCCTTGCACAAGGGTATACCCTTTTCCCAGCACTTGCCACGGTCAAGATAATGAATGATTTTATGATAGAGTAACTCTTTGCGTTGCCATTCTGGTTGCTGCGGATGAGCGTGATCGGATGGCAAAACAGTTGAGCCCCAACCCAGTTGATCGGCATATAATTTCATCGTAAAGCCCGCTTCCGTATAATTTTCAGCGGCCAAATGTAGATCATGCAGCTTGTAAATGTAGCGCAGGTACATCTCCTTCCGGTTGAATTCATTCTTGTAGAAGTT